GGTCTAGGGGAAAATAAAATATTCTTGTTAAGGAACATTGCAATAAAAAAAAAAACTAATGACGTTTATACACATATGTAGTAAGGGGACGTTTGTTCGTTTTCCAGCTGCCCAGACTCCCGAAATAACCATACAGAAACTATTAATTAAATCACTGCTTGGCCCATTAGCTCTAGCTTCTTATTAGCTAGCTCTTATGTATTAATTTAACCCATCTCCATTAATCTGTGTATCGCCATGTGGAAGTGGCTCACCGGCAAAGTTTCGGCATGTCTGTCTCTGGCAATGGCTCCATGGCTTCTCCCTGACTCTGCCCTTCTTTCTCCCAGCATTCAGTTTAGTTTTCCCCGCCTTGCTCTGTTCTGTCCTATCAGGCCAAGCCAGTTTCTTTATTAACCAATGGTATTCGCAGCATACAGATGGGAATCTCACATCACCCTTATATCAGCATCTTTCTCGGCCACCATCTGAGAAGCTTCTTCTTGTAGTCGAAGGGGACTAACACAGAGACCCACAATTGGACAGTGTGCAGAGTGAGACTTTTAAAGACTCAGTCCTAAATGGGATGACTTCATCAAACTGCTCCCTTCAGGGCTTGGGGGTCTGTTCTGAAGAGGAGGTGGAAAGACTCTCGAGCCAGAGGTAATGGATGACTCCAAGGAAACAGTGTCTTCCAGACACAACAGGACCGAGATACATATAAACTCACAGAGACTGTGGCAGTATGCCCCAAACCTGCAAAGGTTCAAGCCAGAAAGGGGGCCAACGCTGAAAGGTAAAAGTGAAACAGGCTCCTACCCCCAACCGAGAGGCTATGTACAACTGATGCCCTTTGGCAAAGGAAAATTACTTTCCTCCAGTGAGACTCACTGGGAATATTAAACACACTTCAGGGTAGACTTCCTGCCCAGGAACAGTTGATCAACACAAAATGAACGTGTCAGGTCCAAAGGAAACTCCAATTCTCCAAACTCCAAAAGTCAGTCCAAATATCCAGAAATGACCTTAACTGGGACTATAGGAAGAGTTCTGAAAGTTAGGTAAAAGCCAGCATTCCTCAGGAGCTTGTGAAACTGGTTCCCAGCCTGTTGAAGAAGTCATTCCCTTTATCTCTACCAGAACGGGCAGAGGTAGCAGCTGCTACAAGCCCAGCACGTGGCTGTTTGCTCCCCTCCCCCAACAGCCTCCAGGACCCACAGTTTAAGCTCCAGTCAGTTGTACGTGGATGTGGCTCTAGCTCTTGCCGCTGCAAACCCTCATCTTCGGCTCCTCCCTGGCTGTCTCTCTCCTTGCTCTCAGACTGTAGACCCACTGTGCTATCTCTCAGTCTCCACCTATGGTCCTGCAGCTCGTTTTCACACTCAACTTCCTCACCCCTAAAAAAAAAAAAATTATTCCTATGGTATCTTATACTGCAAACTTTTGTTTCAGGATTTTTAAGTTGGTTATCTGACATGGTTTCCTGCAAAAAGTTGTTTGTCTTTCTGTGAAAAAGTCCCATCTATTTTGTTTGTATGGATAGAAATGTGTAAAGGTGTGTGGCCACGTGCTTGTTTCTGACTGATCTCGGATAGCTGAGTTTATGTGTTCTGTATGTCTTGGAAACAGCTAGCTGCCTGGACTCAGAATTTGCTTCTGGAATTTTTCTAGTCCTGAATCTAATGTAATGACAGAGAAAGTTATTTATGCTGCTCTACTTTATAAAAAAAAAAAAAAGTTAAGGAATTGGGTATGGTTAAAATCTGTAACAAATACTGGTAACTCCAAATTATAACACTCTGAAAACCAGCACCTGGGCAGCCCCCATGCTGACTAAGATTAAAAGGGTGAGGTCATGTGACTCCACCGCTATGTTACAACAGGTCTCCAAGATGCTTTAGATTAGGATGGGTGTTTGTATAATTCCTGCCCTGTCCTAAGAACAGGTTTATGCAAGATGAGGTTTAAAACAATGCTGGTTTACAGAAATATCAAAGCTGCACCTCCATTGCTGGCAACCAGATTTTGTAATGTCAGAGTAATTTTAAAAATGCTAAATGGTTTACATTGTGAAAACTGGGATTACCTTTTAGATACACTAAACTGCTTATGTTTAACAGATAATGACCCCCTGATCCTCAAACGCTTCAGAGGTCTGAGAATATGGCATTTTAATAAAAAAGCTTCTCATGGTAGAGACATGCCAGCTCCTGGCAGCATCCTGTATGGATGGCCACAGAAGAACTTCCATCTGGAGCTTGCTTTAAATGTAGCAAAGCTAGTCACAGGAAAAATTGCCTTGCATCTGAACTGCTGCTAAGACCCTGTCCAGACTGTGGACAAGCAAGACATCAGGGAATAGATTGCCCTGCTTTGTCAAGACAAGCAAGGTAGGTGGTCTCCCCCAAATTCCTACTACACAGGAAAGTCTGTCAGATCTTTTGACTTGGCAGTTGAAAACTGATACTGTCTTGGAACCTCGGAGAAACTTGGGGTAGCTGTCTAGGTAAATGGAAGGCTGTCTCATTTCTGCTTACTCAGGTAAAATTTATCCTTCTCAGATCTGATGGTGTTTGATGACTAGGGTACTGATAGATTTACCAGTTTAACAGCTCTCCCCTGATCCCCAAGGTTACAATCACCTCAGGATCTCATTAGTTCATTAGTTAAGTTGCCTGTTAAAATTACAGACAGGCGCTGGGGTATAGTGGTGGCGCACACCTCTAATCCCAGCCTGATCTACAAAGTGAGTTCCAGGACTGTTACAAAGAGAAACACTGTTTGAAAAAAGCAGAAAACAAACAAACAAAACAACAGCAAAAACAAAAGATCCTTCTCACCTGTACCTAGGCGCGCAGTCCTGTCCTCATTTTCATCTAAGTTCCAGGACAGTCAGGGCTACACAGAGAAACCCTGTCTCAAAACCCAAGAGAAAGTCTTTATTGTACATGAGGGAGAAACCAGCCAGTGGCATCTGGAAGAGTCCAGACTGACCATGGTCTGTAGAATAGACTGGGCTGTAGGGTGGGGGCAGGAAGAGGAAGAGGACGAGGAAGAAGAGAGGAGAGGGAGATCAAGAGGACCAAGAAGACCAAGCGAATGCATGGGAACCAAGAGGCTGTGTAGCTAAAATGGCTGTTGCATAGGGGTCAGAATCTGGGGGAAGGCAAATGAGGCTCAGACCCTAAGTTGGAGAGGTTTAGGCTGTGGGCCTGGGTGAGAAGTGCTGGGAGGAGCTACAGGTACTGAGTGAGACTTGTCCCATGTTTCTTTGGGAGCTAACAGAACTCCCTGTAAGTATTGCAGCTTGGATGGAAAGGAATTCTGACCGTCGGGAGCCAAAGAATGTCAGAGTCACTCTACGAGTGGCAGCTTACAGCTCTGCTCTAGGGAAAGATTTTCCCAATACAAGTGGACCAACTCTGTTCTGACAGGGGAGGGTTTCCCCAGTGAAGTTGTTATAGCTCTGCTCTGGCTCTGGCAAAAAAATCGTTACAGCTGGGCTCCACTCCAAGGAAAATGATACACACTGCACAACAAACCTCACTCAGGAGATTTATTGGGAAGGAAAAATCCAGGAGGGTGGTTGCCTCTAGGGTGAGAAGCAGGAGCAAACTGAACAGGGCACAGAGCTTACACAGGGTTTCTTGGGGAATGAGACTTCCCTGGGTGGTTTGGGATTGGTGGCTTTTGTGGCCCGATTCTAGGGCAAGATCAGGGGATTGGTGGGATTTTTGTGCTCAGGGATCTCAGGGATCGGTGGGATTCTGTGTTCAGGGATTGGTGGGATTCTGTGCACAGGGGCCTCAGTGGTTGGTGGGATTCTATGCTCAGGGATTGGTGGGAATTCTGTAGCCTGACTCTGGGGCAAGCTCAGGGATTGGTGCAATTTCAAGCTCTGGTTCTGGGGTCAAGTCAGGGGCAAGTTGTTTTCATTGACCCTTTCACCCTACACTCCCTCTGTAAAACAGGCTGGCCACAAACTCCAAGATCTGCTGCCTATGCCTCCAGATTGCTGAAATTAAAGCCACTAGACCTGGCTTTTTTGTTTTTGTTTTTTTCAGAGAGAGAGAGAGAGAGAGAGAGAGAGAGAGAGAGAGAGAGAGCAGTCTTAAGTTGGGGTTGGGGTAGGAAGTGTATTCAAGGGGACACAGTAAAGAAATTGCCAACATGACAGAGTTAAGGTTTTTATTATAGATATGAGAGAACAGCCAGAGACATCTGAAAAAGTCCAGATCAGAGTTCAGAAAGAAGTTGACTGAACAGGGCCAGAGGACTGGACATGGCCAGAGTTATCTGCGAGGGAGCCTGGAGGCCAGCATACACTTTGATAAACTGAGAAGAGCTTGGGTAGACCAACGTTCTTTCTGCAGAAGGTAAGGTGTAACCCGTTTCACAGGTTCTTGATTAATGCTGGCTTTTATCTCACAGCCAGAATTCCTATAGTCCAGCAGGAGTTAATTTCTGGATATTTAGGCTGCCCTTTGGAGTTTAGCGAATTAGAGTTTCCTTTGGATCTGACAGGGAGGTGAGGGGAATCTGGTGGAATTGGCATAGGGAGAAAGCGTGATAAGAATGTAGTGTATAAAATAAATTTCAACTAAAATAAAAAAAATCTTGCCTCAAAAATTAAAACAAAAAATTATACATAAATTCTACTGTTGACTCTTTCTTTTAATTCACAAGTTGTCCAAAACCAGAAGGAACAGTGTGCATAGATGTGGCTCAGTAGAGTTCTAGCTCCGGCACCCATAAAACAGCACGGTGGTGCATGCCCGTTATCCCAAACCTGGGGAGGTCGAGGCCGGAGTTCAGCGGTACCTTCGGCTACCTAGCGAATTCGAGGCCACCTGTCTCAAAAACAGGAAGAGAAGAAACAGAAGGAAGTTAGCCTGGGCTGGTCCCGAGGCTTGCTGGCAGCCTGCAACCGGTAGCTTCCCTAACTATTCCCAGACTCCTAGGCAACATTAGCTGAAGTCAGTGCGCAGGCGCCAAAAGGGGGCATGGCTATGCATGTCACGTGAGCGACCCGTTGCCCTGGGGATGCGCTCCGGGACTTCTGGGCTGCAGCAACCGGCCGGGCCGCTCTAGAGGTCCGCTGGTACAGACGCGGGACTATGGCCGTGTCCACCAAAGGCCGGGTTATATCAGTCGGCGCCTCCGAGGGCTTGTTCGAGGCCGACAAGAACTCAGGGGAGCCGGAGAACACCTATATTCTGAGGCCCATTTTTCAGCAAAGGCGCGTAGCGGTCGGGGCACTGCGGGCGATGTGGGTCGGGAGTGGGGCCTGGGCGCTTCAGTGTCACCAAGGAGACGCGGAGAGGGGCGGAGCTGGGCGGGCTTTGGCATTCTGATGTGGCGATTTTTCCAACGCCGAGCTCTGCTGCGGGATTGGTCGGTCTTCCCGGAACCCTAGACTGGCGCACGGGAGTGGTTGACCTCTTGGAGGCTTTAGGGGGTGCACACCCGGGACAGAAAAAAACAGAGGCTGGAAACAAGCAACTTGCTGGCGGTACTCTGAGAGTTACCGCGTGCTCACCTGTACTGTGCACTTGTGGTCAGGGGATAACTTGTGGGAATTGGTTCTGTTCAGTTCTCCCATTATGTGGTTCCTGAGATTGAATTTAGGTCATCAGGCTTGACTGCAATACCAGCTAAGCCATCTCACTGGAACCGAGAGAGGATTTTTTTTTTTTAATTTGAGGGGAAGGGGGCGTAGATTGTGTGTGTGTGGGGGGGAACTGTAGAGAGTTCTGTCTGTCATGTGCTTGCTCTGAAAGCTGAAGTCCTGAGTTCAATTCCTGCACCCATTAAAGTCGTTGCATGTTGTGATCCTAGTGATGGTATTGGAGAAACAGGCTCTGGAACTCTGGCCAGCCCAGCCTCACGTTCAAGACCTAGTGAGAGACCCTGCCTCAAAAAACAAGGTGAAGGGCTGAAGACATGCCTCAGTGGTTTAGAGCATTGGCTCCTCCTCCAGAGGACTGGAGTACAGCACCCACATGGCGGCTTTCAACCATCTGTAACTGTAGTTCCATAGGGTCAGATGCTATCTTCTGGCCTCTACAGACATACATGCAAACAAAACACCAAAAACATAAAATATAAGTAAATCTTTAAAAAGGTAGAGATAGTCCTATATGATAGCAACTTCATGCAGCAGATTCCCCATAGATATAGAAAAAGGTATGTTCAGTTACCGCAGCAAATGTTCTAATGTATAGAATGTCCCTGGGCTGTGTTTCCTTTGTAAATGGTGCAGAAGGGGCTAGTAACAGATGTGTACCAATGAGCCCAAGCGTTCACGTGAGACTTGTTTAAGAGAAGCTTAGCATTTTATGAATGGTGGAAAGAGCGTAAGCAGGGGCTGGAGAACAATTAAGAGCATCTGCTGTCCCTGCAGAGTACCCAGGTTTGGTTCCCAGCACCCACACGGCAGCTTACTGTTTGTAACTCCAGGGGCACCAGGCTTCAGCCTCCATAGTGCTGGGACCTAAAGGCATGCACCACTACATCCCAGCTATTTCACAACTAGGTACAGTTTTTAGGGCTGCTGAAGTGTGAAGGATGTTGGGGTGCTGAACTGACATTTAGATGTTCTCAAATTGTTTGACTTAGGTTTAGACCCTCTGTGGTTAAAGACTGCATCCATGCCGTGCTCAAGGAGGAACTGGCAGTCGCTGAATATCTTCCAGATGAAATGCCTCATCTCACAAAACGTCTATCAGAAATCATTAAAGATAAACTGAAAGGTAACCTGGGCTGTCGCTGGAAATGAAGTTCCCTTCAAACACCCAGTTCTGACCATTTGTTTCTGCCACCCCCCCCCCCCAGACAGTTTCTCTGTGTGTCCGTGGCTGTCCTTGAAGTCACTCTGTGGAGCAGGCTGACCTTAAACTACAGAGATCTGCCTCCTGAGTGGCAGGATAAAGACATGGGTCACCACTGCCCACCTGGCACTCTGCCCCATCTTTGATCCCAGGACATGATCTATGCATTCTATAAATGACAATTTTTCTTCAGTGTCTAGAATTCTGTGATTCTTTGGTAACTTTTTCTCAGGTAGGATCTCGCAGACTGGAGGAAAGAATATAGATTTGTGCGAAAGCATCACAGGGAAGCCATGTCCGAGAAATTCAAGTATTCACAAAGCTTCCTTCCTTTCCCTTGTTATTATTGCTTCTTTTCTCCCCCACCAACCTGTAGATTATTTAGTCCAGCATTCAGTACCCTCCCAGACTGTCCTGGGCCCCACTTCTTCACTGCTTTTCTTATTCAGCCCTCCACTCTTGCCAAATTCAACATATGCATAATACATTTTGTGCTTTTGTCTCTTGCTAACAGAAACTGTTTTGTATTTTGAGACAGGGTCTTACTATGTAGCTTGCTATGTAGACCAGACTGGCCTAGAATTCATAGAGATCCATCTGCCTCTGTCTCCTGAGTGCTGGGATTAAAGGCGTGCGCCACCACCGCCTGGCACCATGCCCTATTTTTAATGATATACCATCAGAGAAGCTCTTTACTTCTGTCTGTGCCATCCTGCTCTTGTACTGTTGGAGATGGAGCTCAAGGCCTCCCGCATGCCAGGCAGATGTTCTACCACAAAGTCATGGTCACATGGATGTCACAATTTCTGTTCCCTTGAGGCCACTGTGTAAGACTCCAGTTTCAATGGATCCAAGTACTCTCTTCTGGCCTTCATGGGTACCAGGCATGCACATGGTGCATATATATACTTTCCGGCAAGGCACTAACCTACATAAAAATAAATCTTTAAAAGGCCTTTTATTTCTCCTTCAGAATGATGATGTCATGGCTAGATGTAGAGTGCCCTACATACATTTCTATGCCATTAGGGGTTCAGGAAGAAGGGAGAAATCTCAGGTGAGGATGAAGTGTTCTTAAAATAATGATTTGGAGGGCAAGGTGGTGGTGCCCACATGTAGTCACAGTACTCAGGAGGCAGAAGCAGGAAGACTAATGAGGGTGAGATCATGGCTCTAACAAAACAAACCAACAACAAAAGCGCACCAGCAAACTGGGCTCTTCCCCAAGGATTTTGTTCAGGCTGCCTCTGGACAGTGTCTGTAGTCCTCAGGTTGTTTGTCCAGTTTACTGTGCTGCCCTGCATCCTGACCTTGAACAACTCCTCCTGCAGCCTCCAGAGTGCTGAGTTTCATGTGCAACCGTGCCAGGTTATGTTTCTTTTCTTCCTCTCCACCTTAATGAATAGCTTACAGTTTCCTGAAGATCCCATGTTCTCACCATCTACCTAGTTTTAGTCTTCAATTTATGTGATGCGCTGTGTGGGTGCCCATGGAATGGGGCTAGGGATTCTCTGGGGTTGAAGATAGAGGTGGTTTAGAGTTGCTGATGTGGGCGCTGTGGACTAAACTCTGGTCCTCTGCACGAGCAGCAAGCACTCTGTACCTCTGAACCCCCCCGCCCCACCTCTCCAGTCCTGTTCTCATGCCTCTGTTATTCCCGCTCCATGAAGGGAATAACACGGAAGAGCTCTCTTCCTGGTAAGCTCTCACTCTCCAGCACACTCTGTGTGCAGTCTTTGCTGATCCTGTGCCCCACCCCCAACACAGTGACGAACTCCCAGCTCTGATACACCTTGTACATGCCACTTCTAAAACAATTATTTTTGTCTACTTTTGAGTTCTGTTATGAGCTCTTTGGTCCCAAGGCAAGAAGAATGTTTTCTTATTTCTGTAAATTGAAGGGCAATCTCAGGAAGGGGCCAAGGCTCACTGGGACCCTCCCTGTGTGCCAGCACTGGGCAGAGAGCTGTGTCTTCACACCTTTGCAGGCGAGAACATTCCCTTTTAACAGAGAAATTAAGGGAAAGTTAGGCTCCAAGGATTTACCTCAGGGCAACATTGTAGTCAGGGCTTATCTCCAGGCCTCAGCCCTGTAATCTTACTCTGTACTCCTTAAGTACCCAGGGACTGTGTGCTTCCTCTATTCTGGAAGAGTCTGTGACCAGCAGGTCATGTTACCACGGACTCAAATAGAGCTAACTTTCTGTTATTCTCCTTTCTAGAATTGGGATATGACCGGTATAAAATGGTGGTGCAAGTGGTGATTGGCGAGCAGAGGGGTGAAGGCGTCTTGTGAGTAAGGGGGGGGGTGTTCCTGTCCTGTCTGTGCTCCTTGGGAGCTGTCCATTGTGTGCATAGATAACTCAGTACGCCTTTGTCTCTGCAAGACTCAGGAGGACTGTTTAACAGATGCAGCCGTGAGCAGAAGAGGTTCTGGCTGCTGACTCTTAAGACTAACATCTGGGTGGTTCTCAGGTGGATGTCCGTAGAATCACCTCTGGTCACTATAGTCTCGGCCCCCACGAATCTAGCGCTGTCTTCAGAACAGAAGCGTCTACTGGTTTGGGTTGGCACTGTGAAATGTAGTCAGGCCGAGCTCCAAGGAGCACTGAAGGCTGAAGAGACGGCTCATCAGCTAACGGCACCTGCCGTCAGGCCTGATAACCCAAGTTTTATCTCTGGACTCAACTTAGTGAAAAGACAGAACCAACTCTCAGTAGTTGCCCTTTGACCTCTATTTTATGTCATGGTGCACAAAAACTCTTTCTCCATCCTTTCAGTTTGAGGCCTGCCTGGTCTACATAGTGAGCTTTAGGATAGCCAGAACTGTAGAGAGACTCTGTCTTTAAAAAAGGAAAGAAGCCATTATCTAAAATTTCAGTACATGCAGAGTTCAGGGACTAAAGAACTACTCTATGATTTAACTTTATAGTTATAAATATAGTCTGATGCTATAATTATATTCCTACTGCCCCTAAAGGTATTTTCAAATTCTAGTTTTGTTTTCTGAGACAGGGTCTCATTGTAGCCCAGGCTGGCCTCAAGTTTATTTTGTGGTTGAGAATAACCTTGAATTCTAGATCTTCTGCCTTTAATTCCCAGGTGTTGAAATTACAGGCTTGCAGGACTGTACTTGGTTTTTGTTTGTTTTTGAAACAGGGTGTCCCTCTGATGCCCTGGTCTTTTTAGTAACTACCTTCACAGCTTCCCAAATGTTGGTTTTACAGGTTTGGGCCTCCTAATGCTGGTCTAGTTAGAAGATTGAATTATAGCTCAGAGTTGTCCCTTTCTTATATAGGTCTCTACAAATGACCAGGTTGGATGAAGTATTATATTGGGCCTTTCCCAAGACCTCTTTTCCTATTATTCTGCAGGAATTGAGCCCACTGAAAGTCACCCACAAGTGTCGTAGCCAAATTAACCTGATCCGTGTAATTGTCAGGAAGCCAGTTGGGATGCTAGGTGGCTTAGAGACTCTGGCCCTCACCTCTAGCTGCAAGCAGCCTCACCTGTGACTCCTGTCCTTCCTGGTGGTCCAGCACATTTTGCCTTTATGTGCCATGGAAAGGTTGAAGCATGGACGTGCGAGATTGTAGGGAATGAACTTGCTTGTGGCAGATCATAGTTCAGATATACAGTGTCTACTGCTGACCAGTCTTCATTGGCATTCCAGCATGGCTGCTCGATGCTTCTGGGATGCAGACACTGACAACTACACTCATGATGTCTTCATGAACGTAAGTCTTTGGGAAACTCCTTTCTCCTTTCTGGGGACTCATGGCCATTGTGTAGCAGATTACTGCTAAAATGGGAGGACATGATAGTATTTTTTTTTTCCTCAAAGTTTATTAAGTACAAAAGTCTCCATTTCCGCCCCTCCTCCCAACACCCTCCCACTCCCCCCACTCCCTCCCCTCCTCCCTCTCCATCCCCAATAGCAGTCAGGGTCTCCTGCCATGCGGGCAGTCCAAGCTCCTCCCCCCTCCCTCCAGGTCCAGGAACATGATAGTATTTTTGAGACATATCTCTTGGATCACTTAGATTTCTGGATAAGGAGTTTTTGTTGATTTTTTTTTTTTTTTGAGACAGGGATTCTCTGTGTAGCTGGCTGTCCAGGAACTATAGACCAAGCTGGTCTTGAACTTTGGGATCCACCTGCCTCTGCCTCCCTAGTGCTGGGATCAACAGTGTGTGCCATCAATGCCCAGCATCAGTAGTTTTATTTTAAATTTTACTGTTTTATTTGCTTCAGGCAGTAGAGCCCACTTTTGTGAGGAAGGCCTGGCAGCAAGAGCAGTTGGTAGCTGTGGCAGAAGGAACTTGCCCATGTTGAAGGCAGGTCTTTCCTTTCCTCCTCATGTAAACCTGTCTAGTGATGCTCCCACAGACTTCCCCCAGTGTCTCTGAGGTGACTCTACACCTAGTCAGGTTTACAATGGAGATTAACCATCTTACGCTCTTGTCTTAGTTAAGGTTTCTACTGCTGACACCATGACCACAGAAACTCTTATAAGGGTGTAGTGAGGAGTTGCGGGCAGGCCTGCTTTTCGTCCCACCCAGCTCCCACACAGCTAGCTTAGCCCCGGAAATAACAACACACAAATTGTATTCATTTAAACACTGCCTGGCCCATTATCTCTAGAGAGTTAGTTACTGGCTAACTCTCACATCTTGATTAACCCATTTCTAATAATCTGTGTAGCACCACGGGGTGGTGGCTTACGGGGAAAGATTCAGCATGTCTGACCTGGTGGCTGGCTCCATGTCGTCTGCCTCATTGCCCTCTTCCCAGCATTCTGTTCTGTTTACTCCGCCTACCTAATTTTCTGTCCTATCAGAGGGCCAAGGCAGTCTCTTTATTAACCAATGAAAATAACACATAACAGAAGGCCCACCTACATCATAAGGGAAACAACTGGGGTGTCTGGCTTACAGTTCAGAGGTTCAGTCCATTATCATCATGGAAGGAACATGGTGGTGTGCAGGCAGACGAGGTCCTGGCTACATCCTGATTGGAAAGCAACAGTAGACTGTGACACTGGGAGCAACCTGAGTAAGGAGACCTTGAAGACCATCCCTGCTCCCTCCAACAAGGCCGCACCTCCTTACAGTGTCACTCTCTTGGGGGCTTTTTCTTTCAAACCACACCTGCTCTCCCATAAATCACTGTGTTATAAAAACCCGTCCTGATAATCCTTCAGAGTAATAATTAATTTAAGACTATCTGTTCATTTGAACATACACTTCACTGAGCTACAAAGGAATTTGGATGAAGATTCTATAACCAAAGATGACCTTTTTTTTCAATAATAAAATTAGCTACTTTATCCTAAAACCATTTTGCAAAGCTAAAAAGAAATAAAAGGAACTGTTAAAAAAAAAAAAAAAGACGTAACTGGAGAACCAGAGCTCTTTCTGCCTGGCTGCTCACAGTGCCAATGCACAGACAGAAACTGCATCTCTGTGCTTTACTCAGAGAGCTGACAATCTGAGACAGGCGATTAACACCCTCAAAAGTGTGTCTTGCATCTCTTCTTCAGGCAGCAGATAATGAAGAGAAGTGGGGATGGGTAGGAGACAAAGACTCATTCTGGAGCTCAGTCTCACCCCTCTAGTTAGGCACTCAGCCATATTTTGGAGGCTGTGATGTCTACATGTCTCTCATTAACATCCCTTCCATACATCCTTCATTTAGCTGATATATGGGCTCAGGAACTTCAAATGCTGAGTAAAGATAGTTTCTGTTGGTACTAACCTCTAGTCCTCCAGGGGCATCTGGGATGTGGGTAGGGTTAACTCAGAACAAACAGTTAGAGGCAGGAGATATGGTTCATCAGTTAAGAGCATTGGTTGCTCTTCTAAAGGACCCAAGTTCAATTCCTAGGCTTCACATAGCAGCTCTGGACTGTCTGTAACACTAGTCCCAGGGGATCCACCACCCTCTTCTGGCTTCAACAGGCACTGCACACATGTTGTGCACAGACATAAATGCAGGCAAAACACCCAAACATGTAAGATAAGAGACATTTAAAAAACAAAACAAAACAAGAACAATTAACTGGGCATGGTAGTGCATGCCTTTAATCCCAGCATTCAGAAGGCAGATGAAGGCATATGTTTGTGAGTTCAATTGTACTACAATCTATAATATAGTTCCAGGATAGCCTGGGATACATAGAGAGACCCTGTCTCAAAGATACAAACAAACAAAAAACAACTGATGGTGCATTCTGCTACCACATGCAGACTCCTGTCTACAACAGGAGGACAATAGGAAAGTACCCCATCTAAACTTCCTTTCCCCTGTCACTTTCACTGGCTGGACATAGTGGTCAGTGTCCCAGCACTTGGGGGGTACAGGCAGAAGGATCAGGAGTTCAAAGTCATCCTTGACTAGCCATGAGAATCCTATCTCAAAAAACAAAAACTCATTGAACACACACACACACACACACACACACACACACAGCCAAAACAAGGAAGCACATAAACATTGGTGAGTTATGGTACATGTGTTCCAGGTAACTAACTTTGATACTTCCTTTCAGAAATCGCCCCGTACTAAAGCCCCCAGTTGTAATTATTGGAGCTGCAGTTGGTAGAGCAGAACAGAAACTGAACTGAGGGAACTGGGAAGGCTTCTACTTCCAGCTGAGTCACTTTGATTGACTTTAAAAGTATAAACGCCAGGGCCTTTTGCAAGTAGATTCTGATCACTATGCCAACGTTTGGATCAGTGAACCCCAGTCTGTAGAAAGTTTCCCACATGCTACTGCCTGTTGCCAGGATTTACAAAAGCGTCATTCTAAAGTAGATGTGGTGGTACATGCCTCTGATCCTAGCACTTGACAATTGGAGGCAGGAGGATTAGAAGTCTAAAGCTGTGACTACATTAGACCCTATCTCAAAGTCCCCCAAAACCACCCCTGCAAATCCTCACAAACAAAACCAGAGTGTCACTCTGTGAACCCATGCAAACTAAAGCCAAACCACCAAGTCCTCCACCACAGATCTGCCGTTGTTAGAACAGACATACCCAGCCGTGAAGCTGGAGTGCTGCCCACCAAGGGGTGCTTCTGGCTGATAATTAGGTACTCAAGTTCAGCTCATTTTCCTCCCTGCTACCAGGCTGGAGTAGGACAACCATTGATTGCTAAGGCAGGGAGAACTCCTGTAGTAAGTTCTTAAAAATATCTTAAGTTTAATTGAGCTCTGAAAAGCATGTGATTTTAAGCTAAAAGATGAACAAAGAAAGCTGGGCCTGGTGATGCAGGCCTCTAACTCCAGGTGCTCAAGAGGCCGGCACAAGAGGGTTGAAGATCCTCTTGGCATAGTGAATTTGGAATTAGCCTGGGCAATTTCGTGAGATCCTGCTGCAAAGTTAAAAGAGTTTGCCTAGCTTGTGTGAAGCTGTCTCCCCTATCCAGAGTGTATATAATATAATGTTACTGCCAATGATAATATCCTATATTACTTGCTCTGGGTAATACACTTACTCCAAGACATTCGAAGCATTTGATAACTATTTCTGTCTTAAGTAAGGCAATATAGAATAATTATTTTGTGAGTATGCATTACCTAAAATTTCATTCACATATTTAATTTAAAAATCTGATTATTTTACCTCATTGTTTTTTAAAAAATATATATATAATATATACTTATAAGTATATATAAATATATGTGTATGTGTTGTGTGTGTGTTGATGTGAGTGCAGGTGCCCCGGAGGTCAGAGAGAGTATCAGATTGATTCCCCGTGAGTCACCTGATGTGGGTGCAGGGACCACGCAGGTCCCCTGCAAGAGTGTATGTGTTCTTCACCACTGATCCCTCTCTCCAGCCCCGGTTCTTGTTTTCTTAAAATAAGAGTCTCAGCCGGGCAGTGGTGGCCATGCCTTTAATCCCAGCACTGGGAGGCAGAGGCAGATGGATTTCTGTAAATTCAAGGCCAGCCTGGTCTACAGGGTAAGTTCCAGAACTGGCTCGAAAGCTACAAAGAAACCCTGTCTCGAAAAACAAAAAAACAACATAAAGACAAGAGTCTCACTATAGAACCTGTTAAGAGAAATCCACATGCATCTGTTTAAGTGGTATCAAGGATTTATTAAGATATGAAAGGGGGAGGGAAATGCACTCACGATTACAGGACACAGTAAATCTGGTTGCAGAGTTCTTGAAAAGCTGGGGACCAGTCACACTGCTTCATGCAGCCTGACCACCTGACCCGGTCTTCACCACCTAAGAGAGAGCGACCACCCTCCCTCCTTCCTTATAAGAGGTCTCATAGGCAGATAAGAAGCACTGCCTCTTAAAGGGCCAGATAGCCCAAGGTTATTGGCAGAGTGAATACCCACCACAATAATCCTGGCTGGCCTGGAACTTTCTATGTAGACCAATCCTGCCTCTGTATACTGAGAGCTGGCATTAAAGGCATGCACCGCCACACCATATAATTAATTATGCAATTAATTATATATATGTAATTAAAGAGGCTGACCTCCCACTCTCTATCTTCCTTTTGCAACCTCAGATTAATGCATGTTAATTATACATAATGGGTTTCACTGGCTTTTCCCCACACGCAAATAGACTGCTTCGATTATCCTCTCCCCCATCTCCCCTCCTACCTTACTCAGCACCTTTTAGGGAGCAGTCTTGTAGATGTCCTCAGGAAAACAACTTTATAGCGGCTCCTTGGAAACCTTCTGTTTCTCAAAGGAAGAAATCTCCATAATTGAAAATTGATGAAAAGGAGAGTATGGAGGGTCACACCTGTAACCCCTATACTTGGGAGGCTGAGACAGGAAGATCAGTTCAAGTTTGATTGTCTATGTTGAAGTCTCTGAAAACAAAAGAAAAAGTTAACAATGGTCTAGTATATCTACACTAGTACATAACACTGGTCTAGCATTGATGTCAGTAGCCTGTGTGACCTACTGTCTCATTAGCACTAACACACTGGGTTTTTGTTTTCTGTATTTATTTTTTAGGACAGCTTATTCTGTGTTGTAGCAGTGTTTGGTTGTTTCTACTACTGAATCTTTGGAAAGGGTGACTGTGAGCATGAAGAAACCTCGACTTCTGTATAATATCCTGACCAAATAAAAATAAGTTGGACCTTGGCACCTAAAATCTGTTGTTTTAGGTTTTATATATCTAATGGTTTGACTTTATCATGCTACCTGAGCTCTTACTACATCTGTCTAGTGTCAGGGTCTGAGAAGTTTCCAAGGTGTATATAAAGTAGAACCCCTTCAGATTTGGAGACTTGTGTGTTGGCTACAATCTGTACTGTTTCTGTGATGACCATCTTCCCCAGAGAGGCCCTTGGTGGCTCCTCCAGCTAGCTGTCCTTATTTGGGCCATTTTATCTGCCATGTCTAAATACTACTTGCACTTCAAGGGGTGTTTGTGTGTCAGACTTTAATCATTTCTTGAAGCACCTCAGCAGGTGCAGTTACCTATCTTTCTTTTTTTTAATTTATTTTATTTTATGTATGAATATTCTATCTGCATGTATACCTTTATGCCAGAAGAGGGCATCAGATCCTACTGTAGGTGGTTGTGAGCCACCCCATGTGGTTGCTGGGAATTGAACTCAGGACCTCTGGAAGAGCAGCCAGTGCTCTTAACCACTGAGCCAGCTCTCCAGCCCAGTTACCTATCTTTCTTCCTTCCCGGTTATCTTCAAGCAAAAAGTGCAAGCAAACAAATGTATTAAAGTTTGTGGGTCCCCCCATATTTTGTCTGTAACTTTATGTACCCACTTGTCTTACACCTACAAAATCGCACTGGGTGTGGCGGCTAATGCCTGCATTCAGGAGGCTGAGGCCAGAGGCCCACTGCAAGTTCAAGGCCAGCATGGGACACGCAGTTTCCATGCCAATCTGGGAAATAGTGTAAGACCCTGTCTGATAAAGTTATTTTTAATTTCCAAGCAAAAACCCACCACCACCATCCCGTCCCATAAAGGGGATGGAGCAATGGCTCAACTACTTTCTCAGTCGATTCGTAGGGATCATTTTCTGTGGGTCACCCTAGGTCAAAATAACCGGAGGCGGTGAGGTTCGCCGGACGTGGCTAGAGGGCTTGAATTCTTTGCTGAGGTTAGGTGTCGGGGCCGCACGCGTGAACACGTGCGGGGGTCGGCGGGTGCAAGGGGCGTCGGGAGAGCACAGGCCGAGGGAGCCCCCGCCGACAGGAGGCGCCACACATCCGGTACTCCGGGGCTGCTGACCCAGCGCCCGTCTCCGGTGCTTCTGCTCAGTCCCTCCACCCGCCAGGCCCGGCTGGAAGCGGAACTACTCTGTCAGGTAGTGGTTTTCAGAGACGTGGTGGTGGGATTGACAAGAGGGCGGGCAGTAGGCGGGACTTCCGGCCCGCTGTCCGGTCAGATGTTTCCCGGGCGTCTCCCCGCAACCTATTTGACTTGGATAGTCGGTGACGCGACGCCAGGAAGGAATCGGACCGGACCCGAGCCCGGGAGAGCTGCGGTAAGGATCCCCGGGGTAGTGTTTGCTTGCGTGGACAAGCGCCGGCTGGGCCAGTGAGAGGGTTGTGACAGCCAGGGAAATGAGGAGCAGTGACTGCGGGGCTACTGTGACCGAGGTACAATGACAGCCAGGGGAACTGTGACCCAGGGGCGACTGCTTGTGAGGGGTCTGCGACCCCGGAGCAGTAAACGCGAGGGACTCTGACCTCGGAGAGCGCGAGGCAGAGGCTGCGACGGGACCATGACCGAGTAAGTATGCCGCAGTGACTCCCAGGGGACTGAGTGGTCGATGGATGGTGGCTGAGGGGACTGACCCGTGGGAACATGAAGCTCGGCGAGGGCTCGCTCATCAGCAAGCGGTGACTTGGAGGAGAACGTAAGATCAGGAGTTGGGGTTGGTGCTCTGAAGTTGTGTTTGTGTACGGAGTGCGAGTGAGTGAGTGACCGGGAAGAGTTCTGTCTTTAGTAAAAACCACACGAGCGTGACACTCATCAGACAAGAGTTTGAATTTTAGGGGCAAAGTTCTGTGGGTGAGAAACGCATTTCACCACTAAAATGCAGTTTCTTCATTTGTGAATGGGAAGTTCGGGTTCAGATTAGTGTCTCCCAACTATGAGTCTCAGAGTATCTATGTACTGTTGGGTTGTGAAGATAGTTAGCGCATGACAACGGAATAAAAACGGAAAACTGGACTAGAATAGAAATTTCCACTGTGTTTTCATAGTAAGGATTTATGAAAAGGGTTTCAGGTATGTGTGCTTGCAATGATGTAAAGTTAGTTACATACATCTTTACGATGTATACAGTAAAGTACAGCTGAATTTGTAAACTGGGTGTGGTGATACACAGCTAAAATCCTGACACACAGAAGGCTGAGGCAGAAGTATTTTGAGTTGTCCTACCGCCTGCTGGGTTCAAGGTGAGCCTGGGCTACCAGGCTGGCCTTGAACTCACAGAGATACACCTGCCTCTGCTTCCCAAATGATGTGTGGGTCACCACCACTAGCTCTGGTTTTTGTTTTTGTTTTTTTCTTTTTGAGACTACCTTGCTTGGGCTGTCCTGGAAGTCACTATCTAGACCAGGGTGGCCTTGAGCACACAGAGATCTATATCTGGCTTCTGCCTCCCTAGTGCTGGGGTTAAATGCACGTGCCACCATGTCCAGTTTTTGCTGTTGGTTTAGTTTGAGAAGCAGTGGATTGGATTATTTCTGAGCTTTTCTTTCTGTAATGATTCTGTGATTAAGGAACTGCAGGGAAGGAAGTGTGAAGCTGAAGTAGGAACTGGGACCTGTTCTGTTCACAGGCTCCAGCAAATGGGCTTAACTAGAGAACCCTTTTTGGACATAATTGAAGTGACTAGCTATGATTGAGGAATAAAACTCAGGGCCTTTTTTGGGAGAGCCTAAAGCTGTATTGAAATAGGGATACTGAGTCTCTTTAATCCCAGTACTTGGGAGGCAGAGGCAAGTGGATCTCTTTGAATTCGATTCCAACCTGGTCTACAGAGCTAGTTCCAGGACAGCTAGGACAGTTACACAGAGAAACCCTGTCTCAAAAAACCAAAAAAAGAAAAGAAAAGAAAAGAAAGACAGAGGCCATGAGGAATAGGAGTTTGTAGTAGGAGAAACTGCTAGGAATAGCTATTGAGGAAGAAGAAACTGAGGATAGGAAAGGAACAGAGCTGGAGAAGGGAACTGAACATAGAAAACAGTCTATGACAAATTAAGTAGAGGTGGGGAGATATATGATCTTCACAGTCTATTCAATTTAGAGAATCTGCAATTAATAGAATTACTAATAAAAATGTTACTGGGCTAAGTATGATCTCAAATGACCTTAATTCCAGTGCTTGAGGGGTACAGGCTAAACTATATATATATATATATCAAGGACCAGAATTACACAGAAAGACTTTGTCTTAAAAAAACAAAAACAAACAAACAAAACTATTGGGACCGGGCATGTCGGCACACCTGTAATTCCAGCACCTGTGGGCTAGTTTTTTTAAAAAATTAGGATTACTTAGCCATTAAATGTGTTTACCTGATGCAGGCCTGCCTTCCTGAATTTAACCTCTGGAACCCACATAAAGATGGAAGCAGAGGCCGGGTTGTGGTGGTGCATGCCTTTAATCCCAGCATTTTGGAGGCAGAGGCAGGCGGATCTCTGTGAGTTTGAGGTCAACCTGGTCTACAAGAGTTAGTTCCAGGATAGGTTCCAAAGATCCAGAGAAACCCTGTCTCAAAAAACCAAAAAAAAAAAAAAGATGAAAGTAGAAAGCCAGGTGCACCTCTGAACATGCACCATGACATTCATGCACCTCCATGTCTAAACCATAAAATGCATGCATGAGCAAGCACACACATAGGGAATCATATTAATAAATGAAAAATAAAAAGAATGATATTTTGTCCTGGTATGGGAGGTCCTTCTGCCTGTGTGTTGCTTTTCTTGTTTAAGAATAAAGAAACTGCTTTGGTCTGTTGGTAGAACTTAGGTAGGTGGGGAAGACAGAACTGAATGCTGGGAAGAAGAAGGCAGAGTCAGGGATCTGTGGCCGGAGGTAAACATGCTGAAACTTTGCTGGTAGGCCACAACCTCGTGGTGATATACAGATTAATAGAAATGGGTTAAATTAAGATGTAGGAGTTAGCCAATAAGAAGCTAGAGCTAATGGGCCAATCAGTGTTTTAATTAATATAGTTTCTGTGTGGTTATTTTGATTCCGGGCAGTCAGGATGAACAAGCGGCCTCTTCCTGTTGCAACAAATTGGCGCCCAATGTGGGGCTCGAACCCATGACCCTGAGATTATGAGTCTCATGTTCTACCACACCACTGTCCTGTACAATGGTAAACAATATGATAATAATAAATGACAACCATCATGGGGAGAAAAGGAGGACAGAACAATGCTAGGAGTGGCAACAGTCATGATAATCTGGCATGGAAAGACTTTGATGTATTCGTCTCTCTAACTTGATGGTTTTTGCACTGTAGGCTAAGCCTGACACCTGGGAATGATGCTACATTCTGGCTCATTCAATTAAAGCTTTAGCTTCTAGTTTTATTTCTCACTCATTCTCTTTCATGAGGGCCATTAGTAATACAATTTAAATTGATTAAAATGAGTATGGTCTCCCCTAGTCTATTTTGAGATAGGATCTCTTTGTAGCACTGACAGGCATTAAATTTTTGGCAGTCAGAGGTGTGGTGGCCCATGTCTTTAATCACAACACTTGGTAGGCAGAGGCAGCTGGACCTCCGTGAGTTCAAGACCAGCCTGGTCTACATTATCAAGTTTCAGGTCAGGTGGGCTACAAAGTGAGACCCTAACAAACAAACAGATAATATGTATAGCAGTTCTCCTGCCTTACCTCCCAAGTGCTGGGATTAAAGGCATGCACCACCACTGCTGTTTGACATGGGGACCTCCTCTTAAGAAGAATGGTGTCATTAGGTGATGTCTTGGATTCTGAAGTCCCAAGTTACTTTACCTGATGTTAACACCGACTCACTCTAATTATGGGAAGATTACACTTATATTAGATTCAGATTTCTTAAATAATTGAATTATTTGTATAGTATGTTTTGGAAAGCAGTTTGTAGGTAGGTATATAGCAGGGCATGTCTCTCTCTGGTTAATTCTGTTGTAGCCACAGTTGGAAGTCATGTTAGTTGGGGCTTGAACTAGGATGAGTGCCAGTGAGCTAAGGGAGCCTAGGTCTACAGGACTGTTACATCACACTCTCAGCTGTTTACAGATAGGGCCGCTAAAAATAGTGACATGGTCTTTGCTCTGTACTTGAGAACATGAATGTATGACTTTTAAGAAGGGTGAGTTTGGTTTGGTTTTGAGATCTACCTTGTGACTGTGTTTACTTCCCTTTTGGTTTCAGAACAAGGATCTTTTTATGGTATGATGAAACTTTATGAAGTCCATTTTCACAGTAATTTTTCCTTTTTTGAGGAAGGATTTCCTATAGCCTAGGCAGATCCAACCTTTGTAACTGAAGATGACCTTGGACTCCTAATCCTCCCATCTCTACCTCCCAAATGCTGATACCACAAATGTAACACCAAGCTTAGAGTAATTTTTCTTTTTGTTTTCTTGAAACTGAGTCTCAGCATGTAGCCCTGGCTGTCCTGGAACTCACTATGTAGGCCAGGCTGACCTCGAACTCATGGAGCTCCACCTGTCTCGGTCTCCTAAATGCTGGCATTAAAAGCCTGCACCACATCAGCAGAATAATTTTCTTTTTTAAACATTTTAAAAGAAATTTTTAATGATTTATTTAACTTTATTTTATGTGCAATGGTGTGATGGTGTCAGATTGCTAGGAACTGGATTTACAGACACTTATGAGCTGCATGTGGGTGCTGGGAATTGAACCCAGGTCCTCTGGAAGAGCAGTGGAGCAGTCAGTGCTCTTAACTGCTGAGCCATATCTCCAGTCCCCAGAATAATTTTCTTATACAGAATTAAAATACATACAATTATAAAAGAATTGTTATATTGCAATACATTTAACAAAATATTTTAAAGTATGTACTATAGCAGTTTATATTTTTAAAGGATTTATTTATATTTATTTTTTTAAAAATTTTACTGTACGTGTATGGGTACTTTTCCTGCATATGTGTTTGGCCACCAGATATGTGTCTGATGTCCTAGAAGGCCAGGAAGGAGCAGTGGCTCTCCTGGAATGAGAATTGCAGACAGTTCTGAGCTGCCATGTGGGCACTAGAATTGAACCCAAGCCCTCTGAAAGAGAAGCCAGTGCTCTTAACTGCGGAGCCATCTCTCAAACTGCTATTTTTATTTTTAAAAATTAGCCAGGCAGTGGTGACGTATGCCTTTAATCCCAGTACTTGGGAGACAGAGGCAGGCGGATCTCTGTGAGTTCAAGGCCAGCCTGGACTACAAAGTGAATTCCAGAACAGCCAGGGGTGTTGCACGGAGAAATCTGCCTCGAAAAACAAAACAAAACAAAACAAAATGTTTATATGTGTATTGTGTGTGTGTGTGGGGGGGTATGTGCACATGAGTGCGTGTGAGTGCAGTGCCCATAATGTCTGTTGGTGGCAAAGTCTATTTTTCTGCTCCTTGTGCCATTACTGTTGTGGCTCCTGTTCCTAACACTCAAGGATGGTGACTCTGTTAGAAGCTAGTGAGAACACATGTGTACAATGTTATATCCAGATTCAGAATTCTCTAACACACCTGCCTTAGAGGAGTCTTACATCT